GAAAAGCCCGCGAAAAATGGTTGCAATTTTTTGTATGAACCCTGTGTGTTCTCTCAGTATTAAATATATCATAAAAAAAAATTGTTAATTCCTTGTTTACCCATGAAGCACCTAGGAGTTCACATGAACTCATTTAAACGTGTTCATGGGTTCCAGATCGAATTGGAATTTGGAAGTGCTGGTTTTTGAGGAGAGGGGAAAAGCGGAGTACATGTAGAAAAACCTGTCAGAGCAAGGGAGAGAACCAACAACAAACTCAACCCACATACAATATGGCATCGACGCCAGGAGTCAAACCCGGGCCACCTTGGTGCTTTGGGAGGTGAGCACTCTCACCACTGCACCATCCCTTGCTCCCCCAAATCTTTAACACCAACTGTAGTTGTGCTATGTTGCCAATTTGTACGTTTGCAAAATGCCTGAGAAAACAGCCAACATTTGGTGATGCCACCTCTGGTTTACCAGCAAAATGATGTCTGAGGAATGAGTGCAGAAATTCCATACTAATGATATATCTCTACTTCGATCTAGGTAGTGCTTCTGATTGGTTGAAAATTTGCTTCAAGCAATCAGACCCACTAGTGACTCAGATCTGGGTGGTGACATGTCTGTCTGTGCTTGTTGCACAGATGTCATTGCCAAACGTTGGTTGTTTTCAGGTGTTAAGTAAGTGCAGAGGGCTCGAAATCAGCTATTTCAGATGGAAACCAGCTGTTTCTATCAAAGTCAGGAGTTTAGTAAGTGCAGAGGGCTCGAAATCAGCTACTTCAGATGGAAAACAGCTGTTTATATCAAAATCAGGTGTTTAGGAAGTGCAGACAGCTCGAAATCAGCTATTAATTTTAGAAGGAAACGAGCTATTTCTATCAAAGTCAGGTGTTTAGTAAGTGCAAAGGGCTCAAAATCAGCTATTTCAGATGGAAAACAGTTGTTTATTTCAAAATCAGGGGTTTAGGAAGTGCAGAGGGCTAGAAATCAGCTATTTGTTTATATCATGTCTTACATGTGAACTACTCACACTGACCACAACAATAGGCAAACATTAAACTCTTTTGCCCCCTCTACAGTTGGTAACATTTATGACACAAGACCACGGCTCTAAAATGTTGGAGAGTGATGACTCAAGATTGCAAAATTCATGCCGTTGTTGTATGAGTTTTTGGTGAACATTCTCAGTTTCAAAGTACCAGGAACTAAATAACCCCTAGTTTTTATTTCACACCCCAGTCCAAACCAGCACTTTAAATTAATTTATAATAAATTATACCATTATTTGGCATTAAGTTTCGGAAGTTGCAGTGAGTAGTTACTGAGTCTTTGACATTTTATCTTAGTGAGGTCAAAGTTGAGCCTCGTGGTGCTTAACTTCAATGCCACTGACATAACATCAGTTTTCACTGCCTGGTTATTGTCAACTACATTATGAAAATACTTTTAGCATCAGTCAATAGATACTGAACCAGAAGAACAACTGATGTGCTCACTTTTGCAGGTACAGTGAAACCTTGACATACCAAAGTGCCAAGAGACTGGCAAAATAAGTTTGTTGTAAGAAGGCTTTGTAATATTGAGGATCTTTTTCACATTATTATATTTTTTACTATAACTGAGGCAAAGAATGAGTTTTTATTGCATGCTTCTGGGATGGCTTCTGTTAACAGCAGCATGTGTTCCCATTTTAAGTCAGAATAGAATTCCAACAACTAAGTACCAGTGGCTATGTTTCAGGTGGCTCAGTGCCATATCAGAACCAGACTTGAGTCTACCATAGATGGTACAAATTACCGGTATGGTAAAATATTTCAAAGCAAGCCTTTTCCCAACTGTGTAGTTTGGAAGCACTTCTAATTACATTTGGTTGAAAGGTTCTAAATTATTATTTATCATTAACATGATCCTCAATGAGTCTGTATGTGGAAGTCTGGAAAGATCCCCTGGTAACTTTTTTGCCCGAGTCCATGACTGTCTGCAAAAGGTTTGTTACCCACAGATAATTAATTAGACTTTGGTATTATCTGAAATTGGTTGTATCTAAATCAAGGCAAACCACACCTTTTTTTTCTGTGGTTTGTTTAGTCGCTTCCATTGATTGAAACTTTTTGTTGGTGTTTGAANAATATACCTTTGTAAAATCATACAAACAAGCATCCTTTGAGGTCACAGCAGGATCTCCAAGATAATCTTCAAAATGTTGACAAATAATGTCCAAATAAGGGACTCCTGCGACTCCTCATTTTCATAAGATGCCCCTACACTGTCTTCTGTTGAGTAATCCATTAAAACTTTCATTGTGTACTTTGATAGAGGTGCATACACATGACCGTAGACTGATATTGCAATGGGTCTCTTGTAATAACTTGGAATCGTCACAATATCATCACCGCAAGTTGCCGACTTAAGGTCATAATTATCATAGTCTGGTTTAGGATTATTTTGCGATACATAGATGTCAGCATCCCCCTCCAGGCTTTCAAGAATCAATGTTATGTCACCTTCTTTCTTTAGTGAAAAATATGTGAAATTTCCTGCTCCAATTTCTCCATCAAAAGTCTGAATGATATATTCACAGGATACAAGTCCTGTGAGAAGGAAAATAACCAAATGAAGCCATGACAACTCCATCTTTGGTTGAGCATTAATTTAATCAGCAGAAACAAACCAGGAGCCTGTAACAAAAAAAGGTGATAATAAAAAATAAGAAGCAGAAGGAATGACCATACATTCTGGAACCAAATGGAATGACCTGAGATGAATGTCAGTTGGATGTTAGTAATGAATATCATACAATTGGTGCGAAAATATTCCTGCAAATTTATAGTGCATTTCCACCATTCAAAAAACAAACAATACACTACCCAAAAACCCTTGATTCTTAAATGTCAGATTCTCAATCTCCGTGTGATGGTCAATTACCAGCCATTGATATCAACCCGTGTAAGTCAGAGACTTTGGGCACAGGATACAAAGTTGATACCTATTGTTTGGTCCACCAACAAAGCTGTTTTGTGACATGGTTGTCAATTCAATAATACAGCCCAGATGGCAGACTGCCTAACCCTTTGAGTTTTGAGTATGTTAAATCACATACTTGAAATCAGCAATGAATCACACAGGCGGCAACAGCAATAGTTGCCAGGGGGAGGGGGAGGGCGGGGATGCAGTCTGTTATGAAATCTCAATGTTCTGAAACACTATTTCTTAGGTGCACTGAGAGAACAATTTCTGTCTAAGATGTTTGTTAACTTAATTCTCATTTTTACTCATATTTCTTTCTTCGTGGCTTCACCTCCAAGAGTTCAATTTTACTTTATATTTCATGCCTTTTAAAAGTTTTCTGGATATTAGTTTCAGTTACCTGTACTCTGTTAGGTGTTCTTGTATGAGTATTATAAGTATTCATTTGAAAATATCAGAGCAAATGTCAAAATTGAGATTTTTCCTATCCCAATCACATATTGGTTGGGACTCAGGATTTTCAAGCCAAATCGGGAGAATGCGCGAAAGACTGGGATGGTTGGACATACAGAGACAGACATGTTAAGGAAATGAGGGAATTTGCTACAATGGAATCCTACAGCCCTTCTGGCTCGTCTTCATATAAATTCAGGTGATAAAACCAATCTTTTGTGTTTCATTACCCAACAGGGTGGAACACCAGAGTTTGTGTTGAAAAATAACTTCTTCATACATAAAGTACATTCGGACAGCTCGTAGTGTCAAAGAGATTTAAACAAAATAACCTGGTGATACCTGTATTTCATTTCAACGGGAAAAGTAAATGACACATAAGGTGAAAACTTGAATCGAATAATCAAGTGATAAGAAATCTCAGTTCATTTTATGAGCTTGCAGAACAGTGCCCAACTTTATTATCTGACGAATCGAACGGAGTGTTCGAAAGTGACGCGTTGCACGAGCGAGCACGGTTTTGCAAGCTCAGATAACAAAATATTATGACTTACCTAACTCTGAATGAGAAGGCAAGAAGTTTCTGGCAAAATAATCACTAATATTTGCTTTTCATTGGCCCAAAACAACAACTCAATGCCTCAAATTTGGAAATATTTCATGGTACAAAGGATTGCTTCCAACCACGCTCTTTTTCGTCCCGAGACTCCACTGACCGCGCAGATTATTTTTGGACCCAGTCCTCTCTGGTCAGCATCCCTACGTGATGAGGGTCTCTTCGAATATTCCCGCTCTTCAAATCTTTATGTAAGCGAAAAAAAAATTAAATTCGCCTGAGCAGGAATCCCTAGATTGGAGGCCCATCGTCTGCACCACTGCCCCTATGGCGGATTTCGCTGCAACGACATTAATAATAAGGGGAGGGAGAGAGAGAGAGAGAGAAGCGCCCCTTTTTCCCTTCCTCCCTATCCCCCACCCATTTCGACACAGGCTAATAGCGCTTTCCACTGTACCAGTGTACCCATCGAACAGCTAGAGCGTAATCCTTAGCGCTATTGTCAGTGGGTTCACTGACAATTTTCAATATGGCTTTAGACGTAGAAAGAAAGCCCTGTGAGGGGCTCTCTAATGTTGACATCTTGGTTAGCCTAAGAACACGTCCTTTTCCCATTAACTCTCTTTGCCGCCCGCTCATTAAAAAAATAAGCAATTAATGAGAGCGAGAAGCAAAATTTTTTTGTAAATAGGATAAAAATTGACAAATGATATAAGGAAAAAACGCATAAACATATGACTTTGTTTTCGGATATGATAATTAAGAATTAATGCTTTGAATTACTAATTTTTTTTCTGAATTGGACATATGACTGATACGTATACTTAGCTTGCAGAGGAAATGGTACCGTTACAGACCTTACAGTTCCTGAACTCGCAGGTTTTATTCTGCAAACTGTAAACGGTTAACTGTAGACCAACCTGACTACAGACTGTGCACTGTGAACTTTAGTATTCTTTTTTCCTGTCGAATTCAGTAGAACTTCGAAATAACGAAGGGCCACAGGACTGGCAAAATCGAGGATGGTCGCTATGAGAAGGGTTCGTTATATCGCCAGGTTCTTTTCCTTACTATTACTAGGACTAGCAATATCGTTCGTTATACCGAGGACCTCATTATACAGAGGGCGAGTTAAATCGGATTCCACCGCTGTATATTTGTGCTGCTGTACAAACCTTTTCCAGCCACTAATACATTTGATTCGGCATGGTTATTGTATTACTGTGACACTGGTGTGTTTCATGAGAGATCGAGAGTAAACAGCATGAATAGGTTATTGTCGGTACGTAATCTAATATCAGGCATCAGAACTGAAATCTCTTGGTGGAAAAGTGTTACAATTTAGCACACACACTGTTTATAAAATTTTTGGTCTTTTATAAACATTGCATGCTACAAAGACTACAAAGATTATTTGGTATCGCGGACCGCAAAGTAGTAAGAGAAAAGTAAGTGCCTCTGTTTTTTGAATATTCAGAATCAGACTGAGTTTTAGAAGCTAGAAGTGCATGCTAATGAGGATAAAATTGTACACATAACAAAGAACCAGACGAAACCACCTTAACATGTTTTGAATCCTAAATAATAAAAAAAGATGGGACCTAACTATTCTTAGATATTAACAGTGAAATCAACTTGTTCCGCCGGCTTTGATCGAAAGAGAAGTTCACATATAGTCTCCCTCTGCGTTTCTCAAAGGGAGTTTGAAACAGGGTGAAACGTAACAGTCATAAATATTAAGGAAAGAGATATTGTTCCTCCGTAGATGCTAATCCACTTGGTTATTCTCATTGGCTACTGAATAATAACATTTATGAAGTAAAACAATTGTCTTTTAGTATTTAGCGTGTGACCTGTTTGGGGATAATCATTTCATCTCATCAAGGTTGTTAGACGGCAGGCACACGTCTGCTTTACTTCTTCATCCCATTCAAATCTTGTTTGCAGTTACCTTATTAGTCGACTTTCCCATCTGGTAAGTAAGACAAAAAGTAAAGTATTATATAGACCCAGCTTTGATAGGTTGCTGGGCTTTAATACATGAGACTATATATTGAGTGATAACTGTCCTTCCGCGCCAATATGCTCCTTCTTTTATTCATCACCCCAATCATCAAGTTCGGCGAATCGCGGTTGTTTAAAACATTATGCTAGAAAGATTACAAAGAATATTTAGTATGTTGGACTGAATGTATCAAAAAGAAGTGATNTTTTTTGAATATTCAGAATCAGACTGAGTTTTAGAAGCTAGAAGTGCATGCTAATGAGGATAAAATTGTACACATAACAAAGAACCAGACGAAACCACCTTAACATGTTTTGAATCCTAAATAATAAAAAAAGATGGGACCTAACTATTCTTAGATATTAACAGTGAAATCAACTTGTTCCGCCGGCTTTGATCGAAAGAGAAGTTCACATATAGTCTCCCTCTGCGTTTCTCAAAGGGAGTTTGAAACAGGGTGAAACGTAACAGTCATAAATATTAAGGAAAGAGATATTGTTCCTCCGTAGATGCTAATCCACTTGGTTATTCTCATTGGCTACTGAATAATAACATTTATGAAGTAAAACAATTGTCTTTTAGTATTTAGCGTGTGACCTGTTTGGGGATAATCATTTCATCTCATCAAGGTTGTTAGACGGCAGGCACACGTCTGCTTTACTTCTTCATCCCATTCAAATCTTGTTTGCAGTTACCTTATTAGTCGACTTTCCCATCTGGTAAGTAAGACAAAAAGTAAAGTATTATATAGACCCAGCTTTGATAGGTTGCTGGGCTTTAATACATGAGACTATATATTGAGTGATAACTGTCCTTCCGCGCCAATATGCTCCTTCTTTTATTCATCACCCCAATCATCAAGTTCGGCGAATCGCGGTTGTTTAAAACATTATGCTAGAAAGATTACAAAGAATATTTAGTATGTTGGACTGAATGTATCAAAAAGAAGTGATTGCACTTTTAAAAATCAGAAGTTTTATGTAGGAAACTAGAAGTGCACGCTTATAAAGGAGGATAAAATTGTAGACCTAAATTCTCCTAAAAGTCTTTAAGAGAATCGCATAAAACGACCTTAATTTTGAAAAATAAATAATAAAAAGATGGGATCAGACCTAACTTTTCCTTGGCTATAATGGTGAAATATATTATCAATGAGTGATAACTGTCCTTCCACGCGAATATGCTTCTTCTCACATTAATCAAGTTCTTATATTCTTATATTCATCAAGTTTGTATATGGCCTAGAAATAACCGCCACGTCAACGCGTTGAGTAATCAGTTTGCAATAGAGCCAAGTGACTTGTTTAAGCGTTGGACCGCAAGCAAGGAGAAAAACATAAGAAACAACAAATATCTGGTCCCAAGCAAAGCACAAGATTGAGCATTGTTCGATGTAAACAATGACCATTAACAGCCGTGTGCGAGTAGTTTCGTGCCTTTCGACGAATCGAAATAAAAGTCAGGGTGATTTTTATGTAAACGTATTTAAAGTGAATTGTTGCAACTGAGGCGTTTAATTTCCCCTTAGCAACGCCAGAAGCAGCTGCCTCAAGATGGTAAACATTTATATGAGCTTCTCCTTACCTTTTCTGCTATCCTTGATTGACATAAGTGCTTCTAGGACCAAATCCAGACTTTCACTATCGCCTTTCTTACCATACTCTTGAAATTAATTTTCACCATATAACTATTTGTAAAATTCTTTTTCCTCCAGAGTTCCTAAAGGGTTGCATGTTTTTGTTAGTGCTTAGCCTGCGTGGCAGGCGAGCACCTGCCACGCAGGCTAGTTAGTGCTTTAATTGAACTAGCAGCTTCCGCATCATCAAAACATGATTGGTCAGAAAACGAGCAAAATAATTTTGTAGTCCTTTTCTTTGAATGAGACGTAGCTTATAGGTTTCTCTAATTTTTTGTATCCGAGCAACTGAGGCAATACAGAGACAAATTTTTGCAGAAATTCCATACTGATGACGTCGTGTCACTACTCAGATTTGGGTAACGCTTCTGATTGGTTGAAAATTTGCTTCTTCCAATCATGCCCCAGACTGAATTTCAGACTTAGCTTCGAGTCGCGTACTCGTTGCTTGGAGAAGTATGCGACTCAAAGGTAGGTCTGAAATTCTGGTTGATGATGCCCATATTTGGGTGGTAACACGTCATCAGTATGGAATTTCAGCTGTCGTTCCTCAGACGTCATTTTATGCGGGTAAAACAGTTGGAGTTTGTGTAATGGTCGCGGGTTGTGGGTTCATGATGTCGCGGGTTGGAAAAATAATTTTGCGTGAAATTCAACTTGGGGTTCGAGGTAACTGAGTAAAAATGACTGATGTTATATAAATAACAAATTCTAAGCCACTAAAAAGAATCCTCCTTTTAAGGAAGGGGCTAGGTGATTGATAAAAAATATCCCGAAAACACATCAACAGTCTTAATACGTATCAAACAATTGGGTCACTTTTATGCGGGGAAAAATAAGACACATCTTATAAACTTCTCGCATAAACGGCACAAAAAATGCTAAGACACTTCTTATATGCCCGTATGTGTATTATGAAAGGTGCGTCAAAAGACAATTTGCAATGCATATTTCTTCGCGGCCAGAAGCGATGAAAATGTATGCAAAATTAGTACGCAGCGCGAAAATGAAAACGCTGACCACAAAGTGACTGCCTCGCTTTTCCCCCGGTCAGGGAGGCGAAGACCCTGATTTCTAGCGTGTCCCCCGCTTACTGGGGAACAAAAAAGGAGTGATTATAAGTTAAACTCCCTGTATTACCCGGTAAATCGCCGAGGGCGTGGGGGGGGGGGGGGGGGGTTTAGATGGCGTGGGGGGGGGGGGAGGGGTTTTCGAATGACTGGTGCAGTAGTTTTCAACAAATCACTTTCAACCTTGGTAATTTTACTAATTTAAAGGAGCTCTCTCCGGTGGAATCGAGACTCGTGACGCACATTACAAACGAACACTTGCGAGATTCTGAGAACGAGTCTAAACTGATTTTTTAGGGGAAGGGGAAGAGGGCGTGGACCTTCGATATTGCAGGCTTCATTCACCACCCACAGACAACATGCTTTTTGTGTATGGTCACAAAGGCAACAGTTTTCCTCCGCTACACAAGTCATCCACATTAACAAAAATTTCGGTCGGCAGAACTTTCAAATTCTTTTGTTAGCAGAAGACGCCTGACCTGTAAAAAGCGAAATTCTCTTGTCTTTTCTTGTTTCCTTTTTAGGGATCAAAGCCAGCTGGGTGATCTTTTTCATGACGCGGCCCATAGTTGGCAAATCCAACGAGGGACAGTTTAGTTTTTAGTTTCAGTTATCCCCTAAAAGTAATACGACGAGCACCACTGTCACTTTTATCGGGGGGGTTGGGGCTCCCGGTTTCCCTGATCTTTGTCATATTCTTTTATTACCCTTTTTATTCAGTTATTGTTTTGTTTAGTTTAATATTATCGGCGTATTCATTTTAAATTTTTACTCGTATTAAATTTCCAACTATACCGCGTTTTAACTATGTTTAAATATTTGTAGCGACTGTCCGTTTCTTCAATAAATCCCTCAAAGAAGAACGGCTTGACCGTTCGAAGTATCGGGAATACTCAAGTCGCTTTGTTCTTTAATTTGCTGTTTTGTTAACAGTTTATTAGGCTTTGTTAAAACAGCAAGATTTGGATACCGTCATTATTACAAAAGTTTCTACTATTCTTAGTTTACTTTGTGACTACTTTTTCCTCTCTTGTTTACCAGAACACTAGACGGAGGTGAGAAAATGGCAGGATCTGCTGATAACTCGAACAACTCAGCAGAGACAGCTCAGAGCACCTCATCATACGCTGATCGTGACTGTCGAATAAGTAAGGAGGATTTGTATATGGTTCTCGCCCTGCATATGCAAGAGTTTCCAGGCGAACCGAGGACTGGTGATTATAAAAAAGTTGGTGCTGTGCTTGTGTTGCCCAATGACATGCTTTATGCCGTAGATTGTTCTCGCAATGGTGTGCATGGCGTATCACGACTGGTAATGACACACCCAGAGATCCCCCAAGAATGCAAAATTTTCGTGTCAAGAAAACCGTGCTCCTTCTGCACAAAGCTACTGGTTCAGGCTAAAGTAAAAAGGGTCTTCTATTTGCCGATCGAGCCCGAGTATTATAAGGAACAAGTCCCATTATGGCTCTTGAGGGGAGCAAGTAAAGAAGATTTTGATGATGAAACATCGCGCGTCGATGAACTATTCAAAGTGAGTTCGATCGCCCAGTCAGTGTTTGTTCCAAGAGCAGGGCAAGATGTTATTGATGCTGCAAAACGAAAACACCAAACAGACAGAAGCAAAAGAACGACCGAACAAAACAACCTCTTTAATAAATACTGGAATGTTGGATGGTTTGGTGACACTGAACACTCCCAAGACATTTTTCAAAAGAAACTTCCATGGCGAGCGTTCGAGGGCAAAATGAGGGAGCAGGTTAAAGAAGATTTTAAAAGCATCACTAAATGGATGGATATCGTTCTTGGCAAATCACAGTTACCAAGAGATCCGCCGTCTGAAGCCTTGCAACTCAATCAATACATTCACTTAATGAAACTGGCATTCTTCCTAGCCGAGCGAACAGATGATCCAAAGACAGGAGTTGGAGCAGTAATAGTGAACAAAGATAAGGATATTGTGGGCCTTGGTTGGAACGGATTTTCGACGAAATCGCTGTATGGCGAGTTTCCAAGAGCCTCTCGCAGCGACGATNTGCAAGAGTTTCCAGGCGAACCGAGGACTGGTGATTATAAAAAAGTTGGTGCTGTGCTTGTGTTGCCCAATGACATGCTTTATGCCGTAGATTGTTCTCGCAATGGTGTGCATGGCGTATCACGACTGGTAATGACACACCCAGAGATCCCCCAAGAATGCAAAATTTTCGTGTCAAGAAAACCGTGCTCCTTCTGCACAAAGCTACTGGTTCAGGCTAAAGTAAAAAGGGTCTTCTATTTGCCGATCGAGCCCGAGTATTATAAGGAACAAGTCCCATTATGGCTCTTGAGGGGAGCAAGTAAAGAAGATTTTGATGATGAAACATCGCGCGTCGATGAACTATTCAAAGTGAGTTCGATCGCCCAGTCAGTGTTTGTTCCAAGAGCAGGGCAAGATGTTATTGATGCTGCAAAACGAAAACACCAAACAGACAGAAGCAAAAGAACGACCGAACAAAACAACCTCTTTAATAAATACTGGAATGTTGGATGGTTTGGTGACACTGAACACTCCCAAGACATTTTTCAAAAGAAACTTCCATGGCGAGCGTTCGAGGGCAAAATGAGGGAGCAGGTTAAAGAAGATTTTAAAAGCATCACTAAATGGATGGATATCGTTCTTGGCAAATCACAGTTACCAAGAGATCCGCCGTCTGAAGCCTTGCAACTCAATCAATACATTCACTTAATGAAACTGGCATTCTTCCTAGCCGAGCGAACAGATGATCCAAAGACAGGAGTTGGAGCAGTAATAGTGAACAAAGATAAGGATATTGTGGGCCTTGGTTGGAACGGATTTTCGACGAAATCGCTGTATGGCGAGTTTCCAAGAGCCTCTCGCAGCGACGATGAAGCCTTGAAAAGGAAGTATCCATATATCATTCACGCTGAACAGAACGCGCTACTGATGCGAAACACCAAAAGCATCAAGGATGCAACTCTGGTTGTAACTAGGACGCCATGCGATGACTGCACCCCTCTGATTGTTATGCAAGGGATTAAAACAGTTGTATTGGGAGAAAAGATTCTTGATTCAAGCAACCCCCAGATAAAATATACAAAGTTTCAACAGAGGGTTGGGGACATAGATGATGGGATTAAGTGCATTGAACTAATAGAGACAATAGAGCAGCAGTCCCGGAAAAGAAAAGCTGATGGTTTCTCTAGCGGTGAAAGGGCTTCCGTAGAAAACAGAGCCAGCTCCTGCACAGCCCTTCGACGATCGAAAAGTGTTCCATGATGCATTTTTCCAGAAGGATCACGCAATATCTCACAGACATGGCAGATTCCATCGTGAAATAAGGTCGTTTTCTCGTCGGCATTCGATTTCCAGTAAAAGTAAAAAAATTGTATTATTTCGTTATTTGACATGATTTCTCCGATTTGCAATGGCTTAAGAGCGAAGTTTCCACATAGAAACATTTATTTTCATGGTTTCAATTAGTCTTCCCATTACAAAGTGTTCAGTGACCCACAACAAGTTCATGAATATTCAAGATTTCTCGGAATATATGTTGAAATCTTCCAAATGTGGACCTCACGCCAGCAAAATGAAGTCCTGAATATTGTACAGGCTAAGAAGTATCCAGAAGTACCCACATTTTGAAGACTTTTTTATCGACCAAAGATGGCTGAAATTTCGAATCTTTTAGCACATTTCAGTACACATGTGAGTGTGCATAAAATGCGAGCCAGCGAGTCATGCGAGCCATGCAGTCCATTGAAGAATCATTGGAAAACACACCATAAAAATCGGACACGGCAATACGGAACCACTGTAAGTAACCGTTTAACCCTAAACAGTGCTCAATCCTAGCCCTAAAATGAGTGCTTAACCCTAATCCGTAAAATGAAAGCTTAACTCTAATCAGTACAATGAGTGCTTAACCCTTATCAGTATAATGAGCGCTCAACTCCTCATCCGTAAATTTGCAGTTTTTACTTTTGTTTCCTTTTTCTTTACCGATGCCTCGAGTGCCTCGCATGGCTCGCTGGCTCGCAGTTTGTCAAGACGTGTGTTTCAGTGTGATAGGAACCCAAAGAAAGGTGCCACGCAGCATGGAAGACGGCACAACGTAAACAAGCCTGCTCAGAATTTGAAAAAGAAACATCAGAAACTTTATTTATTCAAAAGTACAGATCAGAATTCTGGCCAGGAAATTTCCTTGAAGACTGCTTGAGTCAGTACCGGGTAGATTATGCTTCAGAGAAGTGTTTGTCGCATCTATAGGTTAAATTTTATTCGTAACTGCCGTTGTAAACTGAGCTCCTGTGAGCATAGTGAATACAAGCCAACTCGATAATCTCAAAAGCAGAAGCTGCTGAACCGAATCATGTTTGGAAACCATCCACATCGAGCACTGCGATGTTCACTTCGCGCGTGCTGGAGTTTGAAACGAGGTGCATCATGGGATACTATTTGATCGTCGTCTGGGGAAACAGCTGATGATGTCTCTGGCGATGAAAAGGAAGAAACAGAGCCAGTTCCTAAACAGCCCTCCACCGAAACTTAAGCATAATTTTAAAAACCAGAAAAGAAAAGCTGATGATGTCTCTAGCGGTGAAAAGGAAGAAAAAGAGTCAGCTTGTAAACAGCCCTCCACCAAAACTTAAACGCAATCAAAATTAGCTAAGTTTGGACGTTTAAGAACTTTTCATAGTTATAATCGCATTCATCCCACTCGTTTTAAACTTTTCTTATGTATCCTTCGGTTATTCATATTTTACTCGTATTTCTCTTCAGTTTCACATTTGGCAAATTTCTTGTATTTAATCGCGTTTACTCAGTCAAGTGCAATTGGCCAATCTGGGTCACGTGTACAAGATAATAATAATAATCATTATTATCATCATCATCTTCATTGAGGAAACTTTTTCATAAAAGATATGGTTTTCAAAAAGAACCTCAAAACTAGATATATATTATAAAAACAAAAAAAACACGTGTACAAGATAATAATAATAATAATTATTATCATCATCATCTTCATTGAGGAAACTTTTTCATAAAAGATATGGTTTTCAAAAAGAACCTCAAAACTAGATATATATTATAAAAACAAAAAAAAACAAAAAAAAAGCTATAAAATTACAAAGGGATTAAAAAGATACAAAAAAATGCATAAAAAATTAAAAATAAGTATAGGTAAAAATTAAAACGTAAGTAGCTATATTAAAAACTTAAAAACATTACGTTTAAAACTATTTAAACGTAATGTTTTTAAGTTTTTAATATAGCTACTTAGATACCATCCTCGGAGACCCAGGGGCAGATAGTAGGGGCGAGGGAAAGTCTAAACGAGCGGGAAAATATATTATGGCACGAAGAAAAGTAAAGAACGGCGAGAAGAGCCCCTGGGACAATGTCTTAGCAGACCAGTTCCAAACGGTCGCCGCCGTTCTGACTTCTAATTGGTGCCAGAAAACTTTTGTGTTTTTCTGCCCAATCAGAAGGCAGAACGGCGGCGTCCGTTTGGAACTGGTCTGGTAAGACATTGTCCCAGGGGCTCTTGTCGCCGTTCTTTACTTTTCTTAGTGCCACATTTTTCCGCCCGTTTAGACTTTCCCTTGCCCCCACTATCTGCCCCTGGGTCTCCGAGGATGACAAGATACTACATAAGCAACTGAACATACAAAGACTAATCTGTTAAATCTAGGACTCATACATCTCCATGAGGGGATGAGTAAAGGTTTTACACTGGTTCAAGAAGCTTGAAGTAGTTGCTGTCCGTCATAAGTCTCAAACTGAACTACCAACCGCGAGGGTGTGATGAGCCTTGCATGTTCTCGATGCCAGCGTGGTCGCTCCGAGTTATTTTCTCGCGCGGTACCGAGTTTTGCGTTCAAGTGAGTGTTCGCACGCTCTCAAAATACAGAAACTTCTCACCACAAGACAAGAATTGAGAATTAATACTAGTTACGCATTAGAATATATATTTGACTAAGGACGGGTCGTAAGTAAGAAGACAGCTGTAACTTAAAACAATCCAACTATATCTGATCATAGGCTAAGGAAAGCGTTATCTAACGTGCTAAAATAGTTACCTTTACCTTAACTAAGTTAGTAAAGCCGGTGAGACATCACACTATCTGATGAATAAAATACATATAAAAAAATATATATATTATTGACTAGGCTACTTGGGATTGTAGTTCATAAAGTAGTCGCTTTCTCCTTGAACACAGCTAGCGGTGGAGACAACACTACAACGGCTGTTCCTCGGTTGGGAGCTTATTCCACTCCCTAGAAGTCCTCGGGAAAAGGGAGAATTTAAGGGCATTCTTAGAGCTAAAGGGGGTCTGGAATTTATACGCATGACTGTTCAACGTTCGTGTTTCCTTGGAGAATTGCAAACAGTTATGTACATTCAAATCAAAGAGTCCGTGAATAATTTTGTCCATCATACATAGGCGATACAACATACATAGTTACCGTAAAATTCCGAAAATAAAATATAAATATATTCGGAGGGGCTTATGTCGGAGGGAAATTTCCGTTTCAAAATCGATTGGGCTAGCCTTATAGTTAGAAGGAAATTTACCGTTTTTGCTTTGTTTTACTTTGTATTCGAGGGCAAATTCCAAGTACAAGCACCCCGGGGGGCTTATATTTGGACGGACGATTTAACGGAGGGTTTTTTGCCTTACGATTTTGGGGGGACTGATATTTGGAGGGGCTTATACATGGAGGGGCTTATTTTCGGAATTTTACGGTATGTAGCTGTACATCGTACATAGTTATTTAAAAGTTCATTTCAAGTTTTATGGCACTACTTTGGCTAAGCCGCACCTGATTGAGGGAAAGAAATGATGACCAGGGGCCATTTAACAACCGGTGAGAGGATTCTAAAGTACTTTGGTAGAAACGAAACTTGGGGAAATTCGGGAAAATTCTAACAATACTGCGCTGTTATAACTAAGGTACGTGGGCGTGGCCGCGGAGAGAAAAAGAGGATTCAACCTGCGTAATAGGTAGAAAAATGGTTGGGAGGTGTTACGGGTGAAAAGAGAAGAGCGGAAGGGATATGAAGGATCCTTTCCCTTCTTTCGTACTCGCCGCTCATCTCCGCATTTCGTGCCTGGCTAGAAAAAATCCTATTCCCCTTTCCCTTGCTAGTATCTGCCACGTAAAGAGCCTTTTCACTTACGTAGCCAGTATCTAGGCACATTTATTAGACCAAAAGAAAGATTTTACACAAGGAAGATTGGTATTTTTGGGACACCAATATGGCGGAAGTGACGTCCTGTTAGAACACTGTATGTATGCGACTGTCAGCTATAATGTCAGACAGGTGATGCATTTTTCTCGAGGTATTTTGATCTTCTAACAAGAATTTGGTTCTTGGCTGACTGATATACATCAAGTTTTGCGTATATCTCAAGTTTTCTCAGTGATATACCTCACGTTTTTATCGCGGAGTTGGTACCGTGTGCTTCAGTGCTGAATTTGGTGAAGGAAACAAATGACGCTTCTATGGTTACGCTCCTCGCTCGCTACAGTTAAATCCTTCGGATCATCATCAGTAGCTCGGCAAACAACCATATGTATTGGCCCCAAATAAGTCAGCCCTTTGCGATATTGCCAGCCTGCTGACATTCAGTTGTGTTTTAACTTCCCAAATATATAAAGATGACTCTAACATATATGAGAAACACCTATGTAAGAATCCGTGAACCTAGAGCCCCTTAACTTAAGAACCCATGGACGCAAGAAGCCCTGGACGTAAGAACCCCTGACGGTAAAAACCCCTGGAATTAAGAACCCCCCCAATAAAACTCGCTTACGCAAGCTTAAACATATTAAACTTTAAATTTCCACTTGGTACGCAAGTGATTTCATAATACCGTGGTGTCTAACTCACAGAATCACGGGCGCGCCACCTAGTGTTTCTGTTGCATGATAAAACTCGCATTTAGGAGTTTAGAACACCATGGCATTACAATAAAACTCGCTTACTCAAGCTTAAACATATTAAACTTTAAATTTCCACTTCGTGCACTAGTGATTTCATAATGCCGTGGTGTCTAAACTCACAGAATCACGGGCGTGCCAAAAAAAAGTTTAGAACACCATGGCATTACAATAAAACTCGCCGCACGCCTTGTCTTTTTTTAAAAAAATAGTCACCCTTGAAACATGTTAACAATGATTTCCACTCCCATACCTAATTTTCTAAAATCCTGCAATACATAGCTTTTTCTTGAATGAATAAAGAGTTAAATAGCGGAAGAGGCGATATTTGGTAATTTTTGGCGGGCTTTGGACACGTTTTGGCGGGATGACGATTTCACTATTCGACCGAATCCATTTGATCGCTTGGTCTCTGTGTTTTCTGCCTCTACTATGACATCTTCATCTACTAACAATAGTATTCCGCAACCCGTCGTCATTAAATAACGGAAATTTTTTATGTAGCCCGTTTGCACACGCTTTACATCATTAGCAGCAGATCATGCATAATAGTCACCAAACAAATGCAGTCGGATTAGAAGATCTAACGTTTTCAACATCAAAATGCCTACCAGACTGCCGATTAATATTACCACTTACACGTTTGTCGTAATATCGTTAGGCTCAGAAACATTTTGAAGGCATAGGAAGACCGTCTTCTTCTCGTAATGTCATAAATCGAAAGACGCACACACCGTCCTTTACGTTCATCTCAAGAATGCAATGCCGGATTTACATGTATTCGATCAGAGGTCAAATCATAATGTCACACTACTTCCATATAAAGAAAAAGTCAATTATTATTTCCATTGTTTTGGTTAAATTTTTAACTATAGTGCGTTGAATGTACAAGATTCCATCAGAGAGATGCCATAAAAATACGAACACAACACACCAGCGCGTGCGTGACACGCGATTCACTGCGGAAACTGCAGTTTAGCAAGCTCACGCCAAAGAAATTCGTTGAATCTGCGCACACAAAGCCTCGGAGATCAATGATTGCAATCTGTTTTGGCATCCATCTTTCCTTTACGATGAGTAGTATGCTGTGTGTTCAAGGAGTGCGGGTTTTACAAAATAAAGATTTTGAATCAACGCTTTTATCTAGCAACATTCGCCCGATTCTATTTGAGTTCTGCGACCTTCAATACGTACATTCAATACAATATGGAACTACGTTACATTTTACTGAATACTGGAAAAGACCAGAAAGACAACGTTTGAGTCGTAGGCCACGCGCGATTATTCTGGATAACTCGTGAGCTAAGAACGCAAATCTCTGGCTTTGTAATCTCTTCTCAATTACGCTATCGCCAGATGCCGCCTTAATCTTGTTAAAAAAAGTGACGCTTTATCGAATAATACCACTGATGATTGGACCAAACGGTAAAGAAACTAATTGCTTTTCGCAGTAGGAAGTTTATTGCTTGTCACTCAAACCCTAGCGTCCTTAACAAACCCAGCGTCCTGTGGTGTACAAAAAAAAGTCGTATGCGGGTCCTCATGGATAAAAATTGACAAATGATATAAGGAAAAAACGCATAAACATATGACTTTGTCTAGAACCAGACGAAACCACCTTAACATGTTTTGAACGCTAAATGATCAAAAAAAGATGGGACCTAACTATTCTTAGATATTAACAATGAAATCAACTTGTTCCGCCGGCTTTAATCGAAAGAGAAGTTCCGTACATATAGTCTCCCACTTCGTTTCTCAAAGGGAGTTTGAAACAGGGTGAAACGTAACAGTCATAAATATTAAGGAAAGAGATATTGTTCCTCCGTAGATGCTAATCCACTTGGTTATTCTCATTGGCTACTGAATAATAACATTTATGAAGTAAAACAATTGTCTTTTAGTATTTAGCGTGTGACCTGTTTGGGGATAATCATTTCATCTCATCAAGGTTGTTAGACCACACGTCTGCTTTACTTCTTCATCCCATTCAAATCTTGTTTGCAGTTACCTTATTAGTCGACTTTCCCATCTGGTAAGTAAGATAAAAAGTAAAGTATTATATAGACCTAGCTTTGATAGGTTGCTGGGGCTTTAATACATGAGACTATATATTGAGTGATAACTGTCCTTCCGCGCCAATATGCTCCTTCTTTTATTCATCACCCCAATCATCAAGTTCGGCGAATCGAAGTTGTTTAAAACATTATGCTAGAAAGATTACAAAGAATATTTAGTATGTTGGACTGAATGTATCAAAAAGAAGTGATGGCGCTTTTAAAAATCAAGTTTCATTTAGGAAACTAGAAGTGCACGCTTATAAAGGAGGACAAAATTGTAGACCTAAATTCCCCTAAAAGTCTTTAAGAGAATATGATAAAACGACCTTAATTTTGAAAAATAAAAAATAAAAAGATGGGATCAGACCTAACTTTTCCTAGGCTATAATGGTGAAATATATTATCAATGAGTGATAACTGTCCTTCCACGCGAATATGCTTCTTCTCATATTCATCAAGTTCTTATATTCTTATGTTCATCAAATTTGTGTATGGCCTAGAAATAACCGCCACGTCAACGCGTTGAGTAATCAGTTTGCAATAGAGCCAAGTGACTTGTTTAAGCGTTGGACCGCAAGCAAGGAGAAAAAAACAAGAAAGACCAAGAAACAACGAATATCTGGTCCCAAGCAAAGCACAAGATTGAGCATTGTTCGATGTAAACAATGACCATTAACAGCCGTGTGCGAGTAGTTTCATGCCTTTCGACGAATCGAAATAAAAGTCAGGGTGATTTTTATGTAAATGCATTTAAAGTGAATTTTTGAAACCGAGGCGTTTAATTGCCCCTTAGCAACGCCAGAAGCAGCTGCCTCAAGATGATAAACATTTATATGAGCTTCTCCTTTCCTTTTCTGCCATCCTTGATAGACATAAGTGCTTCTAGGACCAAATCCAGACTTACTATCGCTTTTCTTACCATACTCTTGGAATTTATTTTCACCATATAACTATTTGTAAAATTCTTATTCCTCCAGAGTTCCTGAAGGGTTGCATGTTTTTGTTAGTGCTTAGCCTGCGTGGCAGGCGAGCACCTGCCACGCAGGCTAGTTAGTGCTTTAATTGGGCTAGCAGCTTCCGCATCATCAAAACATGATTGGTCAAAAAATGAGCAAAATAATTTTTTAATCCTTTTCTTTGAATGAGACGTAGCTTATAGGTTGCTCTAATTTTTTGTATCCGAGCAACTGAGGCCATTAAATACAGAGCCAAATTTTTGTAGAAATTCCATACTGATGACGTCGTGTCACTACTCAGATTTGGGTAACGCTTCTGATTGGTTAAAAATTGGCTTCTTCCAATCATGCCCCAGACTGAATTTCAGACATAGCTTCGAGTCGCGTACCCCTTGCTTGGAGGAGTATGCGACTCAAAGGTATGTCTGAAATTCAGGTTGATGATGCCCATATTTGGGTGGTAACACGTCATCAGTATGAAATTTCTGCTGTCGTTCTTCAGACGTCATATTTTGCGGGTAAAACAGTTGGAGTTTGTGTAATGGTCGCGGGTCGTGGGTTCATGATGTCGCGGGTTGGAAAAATAATTTTGCGTGAAATTCAAGTTGGGGTTCGAGGTGCTGAGTAAAAATGACTGATGTTATATAAATAATAAATTCTAAACCACTAAAAAGAATCTTACCTTTAAGGGAGGGGCTAGGTGATTGATAAAAAATAGCCCGAAAACACATCAAAAGTCTTAATACGTTTACAGCAAAAAAAAATGAACAATTGGTCACTTTTATGCGGTGAAAAATAAGACACGTCTTGTAAACTTCTCGCATAAACGCACAAAAAAATGTGTTCGCGACTCAGCTAAGACACTCTTTATATGCTCGTATGTGTCTTATGTAAGGTGCGTCGAAAGACAATTTGCAAAGCATATTTCTTCGCTGAGAGAAGCGATGAAAATGTATGCAAAATTAGTACGCGGCACGAAAATGAAAACGCTGACCACAAAGTGACTTCCTCGCTTTTCCCCCGGTGAGGGAAGTGAAGACCCTGATTTCTAGCGTGTCCCCCGCTTACTGGGGAACAAAAAAGGAGTGATTATAAGTTAAACTCCCTGTATTACCCGGTAATCGCCGAGGGCGTGGGGGGGAGGGGGTTTCGAATGACTGGTGCAGTAGTTTTCAACAAATCACTTTCAACCTTGGTAATTTTACTAATTTAAAGGAGCTCTCTCCAGTGGAATCGAGACTCGTGACGCACATTACCAACGAACGCTTGCGAGATTCTGAGAACGAGTCTAAACTGATTTTTTATAAGCGGAAGGGGAAGAGGGCGTGGACCTTCGATATTGCAGGTTACATTCGCCACCCATAGACAACATGCCAGGCCTTGCATAAGCTTTTTGTGTATGGTCACAAAGGCAACAGTTTTCCTCCGCTACACAAGTCATTCACATTAACAAAAATTTCGGTCGGCGAAAGCGAAAGCGAAATTCTCTTGTCTTTTCCTATTTCCTTTTTGGGATCAAAGTCAGCGGGCGATCTTTTTCAGGATTCGGCCCGCAGTTGGCAAATCCAACGAGGTACAGTTTAGTTTTTAGTTTCAATTATCCCCTAAAAGTAATACGACGAGCACCCCTGTCACTTTTATGGGTGGGGGGCGGCTCCCGGTTGCCTTATTCTTTTATTACACTTTTTATTCAGTTACTGTATTGTTTAATTTACTCCTATTGGCGTATTCATTTTAAATTTTAACTCGTATTAAGTTTCCAACTATACCGCTAATTAACTATATTTATATATTTGTAGCGAATTTCCGTTTCTTCGATTCAATAAATCCCTCGAAGAAGAACGGCTTGACTGTTCGAAGTATCGGGAATGCTCAAGTCGCTTTGTTCTTTGCTGTTTTGATATCAGTTTATTGGTATTTGTTGAAACAGCAAGAATTGGATACCGTCATTATTATAAAAGTTTCTACTATTCTCAGCTTGCTTTGTGACTACTTTTTCCTCTCTTGTTTACCAGAACACTAGACGGAGGTGAGGAAATGGCAGGATCTGCTCGTAACTCCAGCAACCCAGCTGAGACTGCTCAGAGCACCTCATACGCTGATCGTGACTGTCGAATAAGTAAGGAGAATTTGTATATGGTTCTCGCCCTGCATATGCAAGAGTTTCCAGGCGAACCGAGGATTGGTGATTATAAAAAAGTTGGCGCTGTGCTTGTGTTGCCCAATGACATGCTTTATGCCGTAGATTGTTCTCGCGATGGTGTGCATGGCGTAGCACGACTGCTAATGACACACCCAGAGATCCCCCAAGAATGCAAAGTTTTCGTGTCAAGAAAACCGTGCTCCTTCTGCACAAAGCTACTGGTTCAGTCTAAAGTGAAGAGGGTCTTCTATTTGCCGATCGAGCCTGAGTATTATAAGGAAGCAAGTAAAGGAGGTTTTGGTGTTGAAACGTCGCGCGTCGATGAACTATTCAAAGTGAGTTCGATCGCCCAGTCAGTGTTTGTTCCAAGAGCAGGGCAAGACGTTATTGATGCTGCAGAACGTAAACACCAAACAGACAGAAGCAAAAGAACGACCAAACAAAACAACCTCTTTAAGAAGTACTGGAATGTTGCATGGTTTGAGGAGAAAGAGAAGCCTGAAGACGCCCAATACATTTGTCAAAAGAAACTTCCATGGCTAGCGTTCGAGGGCAAAATGAGGGAACAGGTTAAAGAAGATTTTAAAAGCATCACTGAATGGATGCATCTCGTCCTTTTCAAATCAAAGTTACCAAGAGATCCGCCGTCTGAAGTCTTGCAATTCAATCCATACATTCACTTAATGAAACTGGCATTCTTCCTAGCCGAGCGAACAGATGACCCAAAGAGAGGAGTTGGAGCAGTAATAGTGAACAAAGATAAGGATATTGTGGGCCTTGGTTGGAACGGATTTCCGACGAAATCGCTGTATGGCGAGTTTCCAAGAGCCTCTCGCAGCGACGATGAAGCCTTGAAAAGGAAGTATCCATATATCATTCACGCAGAACAGAACGCACTACTGATGCGGAACACCAAAAGCATCAAGGATGCAAGCCTGGTTGTAACGATGACACCATGCGATGACTGCACTCCTCTGATTGAGATGCAAGGGATCAAAACAGTTTTCTTGGGAGAAGAAATAAAGATGAGAGAGGATGGGAGAGGTTAGTCAGCCGAGGAACAGCTGAAATACACAAAGTTTCTAGAGAGGGTTAAAGATAAGTCGATCGTTTGCCATCCGCTTGTTTTCGGGTCAGTAGAGGACGCGGCGACATAGTGGGATCTGCTGCGGGAGACGGTGGTGCCAGATGGAGAAAATTTAGCCAGCAAGTAAAAGCATTGGTATTGTTTAGCTAGCCGTTTCTTTTTATCGGTCTTTTAAAATTGCCAAGTCTGAGTAGTTATCATAGTTTCACTATTAAAATATTACACTGTACTTTGAAACCAGGGATTGAAAATGCAAAGCAAGCACTTGTCCAATACGAAACTAGAAGTGATATAACCAAGGTCGTAATAAACTATCTCAATATTCAAACAGTGTCACTGAGGTAACTGCTTTTAAAAAACTTAATCTAAACATACGACTTTTCAACCGTATGAACGTAACCTCAGTTATGTATTTCCTCAGTTTTGACTTATATAGAGTGTTTTCACTCGCGTGTCGAAAACATATGCAAATTTATAGGAACGAAAGAAATCATCTTTTAAGAAAAAAAGCTACAGGGCTGGTTTGGGACACCAATGTGGCGGACGTTACGTCATGTTAGAATGCCCTATACATGCGGCTGCTTGCTGCCAATGTCATACTCGCTCCCAGTCACTCCTGGGACAAGATGTGAACGCATTTCATCAAAGGAAGCCCTTGTGTTCCCCAGGCTATCGTCTGCTATGATTTTCGTGACACAAGGCATTTTGATACAGATGTGATGGTAAGTTTTAGCGTGGTGAATAGTATTACATGAGAAAGATGTTTATTCAGTCCGTGATAATATATCTGGTATAATACACCTTCCTCAAGGTATTTTAATTTTCTAACAAGATTTTGTTTCTGATATACCTCAAGTCAGTTCTGGTATACCTCAAGTTTTTACAACGGAGTTGTTAGCGTGTGCTTCATTGCTGAGCTTGGTGAAGGAGACAAATGATGCTCCTTTGGATACGCTCCCTGCTTCCTACAGTCATCACGTTTCTACACCTGGTCTGCACACAGGAGGCTGGGGTGGGATATCTCTGAAAAGTTATCACTGGCAGAACCACTGCACTGTAGCTGAGAAATTGAGGTTGCACGTCTCTGAAAAAATGGCTTTCCTGAACCATAAAATTGAAACTGAGCGTTTTCTACTCGGTCACAAATTATCCGAAGAGATTTTTTCCTAGTTTTCCGGTATTTTAATAAAGCAGTTTTGCAGCTGTTACAAAGAACCCCATCTAAGCTTGACGTGTCCGTGCGCAAACCAAAACATGAAACAATATCGCTCTTGGACCACAGTGTGGCCGAAATTGTAAACGTATCTGCAGCTTATTGACCTTGAGACCTTTCCCGCATATTAAACAGAAAACTTCTCTTTTTCGCGCTCTACAGAGATAAAGCAGGTTGCAAACACGATGGTTATTTTTGAAACAGGCGCCATTTTAGTTCATATTGCATGCGTTATACTTAAGATCCAATACCAAAACAAGCTTCTGTCCAGAGGCTCCAGCGTACTCGCAACGTTATCACTTGCTGTCGAACGTAAGAACCCATAAACGTACGAGCTCCTGAACGTAAGACCAACGGGATATAACAACTCCTGGATGCAAGGACCCACAAACGTAGGGAACTCCTAAACGTAAGGACCCATCAACCCATGTAAGAACCGCTAAACGCAAGGACCCATCAACGTAAGAACCCCTGGATATAGGGAGCGTCTAAGAACTCTGAACATAAGAACCCCTGAACGTAAGAACCCATGAACGTTAGAACCCCTGAACGTAAGAACCCCTAAACGTAAGAACCCCTGAACGTAAGAACCCATGAATGTGAGAACCGCTGAACGTAAGAACCCCTGAACGTAAGAACCCATGAACGTAAGAACCGCTGAACGTAAGAACCCCTGAACGTAAGAACCCCTGAACGTAAGAACCCATGAACGTGAGAACCCCTGAACGTAAAAACCCCTGAACGTAAGAACCCATGAACGTAAGAACCCATGAATGTCAGAACCCCTGAACGTAAGAACCCATGAACGTGAGAACCCCTGAACGTAAGAACCCCTGAACGTAAGAACCCCTGAACGTAAGAACCCATGAACGTAAGAACCCCTGAACGTAAGAACCCCTGAACGTAAGAACCCCTGAACGTAAGAACCCCTGAACGTAAGAACCCCTGAACGTAAGAACCCCTGAACGTAAGAACCCCTGAACGTAAGAACCCCTGAACGTAAGAACCCCTGAACGTAAGAACCCCTGAACGTAAGAACCCCTGAACGTAAGAACCCCTGAACGTAAGAACCCCTGAACGTAAGAACCCCTGAACGTAAGAACCCCTGAACGTAAGAACCCCTGAACGTAAGAACCCCTGAACGTAAGAACCCCTGAACGTAAGAACCCCTGAACGTAAGAACCCCTGAACGTAAGAACCCCTGAACGTAAGAACCCCTGAACGTAAGAACCCCTGAACGTAAGAACCCCTGAACGTAAGAACCCCTGAACGTAAGAACCCCTGAACGTAAGAACCCCTGAACGTAAGAACCCCTGAACGTAAGAACCCCTGAACGTAAGAACCCATGAACGTAAGAACCCCTGAACGTAAGAACCCCTGAACGTAAGAACCCCTGAACGTAAGAACCCATGAACGTAAGAACCCCTGAACGTAAGAACCCCTGAACGTAAGAACCCCTGAACGTAAGAACCCATGAACGTAAGAACCCCTGAACGTAAGAACCCCTGAACGTAAGAACCCCTGAACGTAAGAACCCCTGAACGTAAGAACCCATGAACGTAAGAACCCATGAACGTAAGAACCCCTGAACGTAAGAACCCCTGAACGTAAGAACCCATGAACGTAAGAACCCCTGAACGTAAGAACCCCTGAACGTAAGAACCCCTGAACGTAAGAACCCATGAACGTAAGAACCCATGAACGTAAGAACCCCTGAACGTAAGAACCCCTGAACGTAAGAACCCATGAACGTAAGAACCCATGAACGTAAGAACCCCTGAACGTAAGAACCCCTGAACGTAAGAACCCATGAACGTAAGAACCCATGAACGTAAGAACCCCTGAACGTAAGAACCCCTGAACGTAAGAACCCATGAACGTAAGAACCCATGAACGTAAGAACCCCTGAACGTAAGAACCCCTGAACGTAAGAACCCATGAACGTAAGAACCCATGAACGTAAGAACCCCTGAACGTAAGAACCCCTGAACGTAAGAACCCATGAACGTAAGAACCCATGAACGTAAGAACCCCTGAACGTAAGAACCCCTGAACGTAAGAACCCATGAACGTAAGAACCCCTGAACGTAAGAACCCCTGAACGTAAGAACCCATGAACGTGAGAACCCCTGAACGTAAGAACCCCTGAACGTAAGAACCCATGAACGTAAGAACCCATGAACGTAAGAATCTCTGAACGTAAGAACCCCTAAACGTAAGAACCCCTGAATGTAAGAACCCATGAACGTACGAAGAGAGCAGTGCAAGTGAGCAAGCGAAAAACGGCTCAGTATCCCGCTCACTTTCAAACAATCCGTTTCTCGTGTCAAACAGAGAAATGTCAAAATAAGCCGTGTAGGTGGGTTTCACAAATTCGCTGTTTTCTTTCTCTGTCTGTGTGTGCACGAAGCCATGTGTGACATGTGATTAGGGACTTTGAGACGGTAAAGGGAACGTCGCTTAAACATGAGTAAATTTGCGTTCTTTTGCTCTTTATCTAATAATTCCTACCTCTTACTTTGTCAGTTGTAGGCGAACCTTCCAAAAGTTGAATTCCATGGGACCATATCGAAATTCAAAAAGAGAAACAAACTTTCGTCGTTGCTTGTTTACGTTCTCCATAAAATGCGAAATTAGGTATTATCAAGTGGTAGTCGTGCAAAAACGGCAAAGCAGTGCCCAAAAATGGAGCGATGCACGTGCAAAGTTGTTGTTTTGCTAATTAAACCTATTGTTTCTCGTTGTCGTCGTGTCGTTGGATGTGGTTGACGTTAACTGTCAGAATTGACCAATCATAGGGTATACCAAGACCGCCTACCATTTGTATTGAAAACCCGAAAATTCCAGGGAGAATTCAAATGGAACGGTTCATTGCTGTGGAAATTTTTCGGGAAAAAAGTAATACCTTTCGAGGTATTACCTTTTTCCGGTTTTTACCGAAACGACCGAAATTTTCTGTACCATTTGTTTTGGATTACCAATGGAAGGCTATAAGTCGAGAGACAGCGAAAAATTTACCTGTATTTTGTAAATGGTACAACTCAATCCCGTTCCCGTTTTCGGTGCCAAAAAAAATACCAGTACCATTTGACGGAAATTTTTCAACGAAATTTCCGTACAAACGGTAAGCTGCAGGTCCCCTGCAGTTTTCGCGCAATTTTTCTCAATGCGCTTCCTCCTCTATCTTGAAGCCTGGAAGAGCCTAGGCTAAAGTGGGTGGAAAAAGTCGGACCTAGATATTGAGTAATTCTGGGTGTTTTTTTTCTGCGACATACTACCGTTCACTTAGACAACAAGGTATTTTGATCATCTAACAAGAATTTCGTTCTGGTATACCTAAGTTTTGGGGGAGAAGCTAAGGGTTTTTGCCGACAAACAAAGAACACAACAAATGATCTAAAAACCAAAGTAAAAACACGAAAGTGATGGTCGTAAGTGCGTTTATTTTAAGCCATGAACAGGAACTTAACAACTCTGCCAGGCCTGATAAATTAACCTCTAGAAGGATCCTTTCCCTTCTTTCGTACTCGCCGCTCATCTCCGCATTTCGTGCCTGGCTAGAAAAAATCCTCTCCCCCTTTCCCTCGCTAGTATCTGTCACGTAAAGAACCTTTTCACTCACGTGGCCAGTAGTTGGCAAATTTATTAAAGCAAAAGAAACATTTTACACAAGGAAAAGGGTCAAATCGAACCAGATTGGTTGGGGATCCTCCAACATGGCCCCGCTTCATATATTTTTGGGACACCAATATGGCGGACGTGACGTCATGTGACAGTACTTTATGTATGCGACTGTTAGCTATAATGTCAGACAGGTAATACATCTTTCTCAAGGTATTTTGATCTCCTAACAAGAATTTGGTTCTTGGCTGACTGATATACATCAAATTTTGGGTATATCTCAAGTTTTCAATAATAATAATAATAATAATAATAATAATAATAATAATAATAATAATAATTTATTCATTTATAGTGCACTTTTTAACATGCTAGGTGATCAAAAGCGCATTACAACAATAAAGAACCTGAAAACTATTAATACAAATATTAGAAATATGCAAATATATTTGATATCTAAGAGATATTAAAAGCTAATTTAAAAAGATAAGTTTTAAGATCAGATTTAAAAATAGAAATACATTTGATGCTGCGGAGGCTAACAGGAAGAGCGTTCCATAAAGTGGGCGCAGCCACACTGATATACCTCACGTTTTTACCGCGGAAGTTGGTAGCGTGTGCTTCAGTACAGTGCTGAATTTGGTGAAGGAAACAAATGATGCCTCTATGGTTACGCTCCCTGCACGCTACAGTTACTTAGTTACTTATTAGATCCTTCTGATTATCATCAGTAGCTCGGCAAACAACCATATATATTGGCCCCAAATAAATCAGCCCTTTGCCGTATTGCCAGCCTGCTTGCATTCAGTTATGTTTTTAATTAATTTCCCAAATAGATAAAGATGACTCTAATATATATGAGAGACACCTATGTAAGAACCCCTGGATGTAAGAACCCATGCACGTAGAACCCCTTAACTTAAGAACCCATCAACGTAAGAACCCCTGGACTTCAAGACCGCTGAGGGTAAAAACCCCTGGAATTAAGAACCCCTCGTTGTAAGAACCCGCGAACGTAAAAACCCTTGGACGTAAGAACACCTGGATGTAAAAACCCCTGAACGCAAGAAATGCACCTAAGAACCCCTCGATGTAGAAGACATGAACGTAAGAACCCCTGGACGTTAAGAACCCTTGGACGTAAAAGCTCCTGGATGTAAGAACCCTGAATGTAAGAACCCCTGGATGTAAGAATCCTGAATGTAAGAACCCCTGGATGTAAGAACCCCTGGACGTAAAAACCCCTTCATGTAAAAACCCCTGAACGTAAGAACCCCTGGATATAAGAAGCCCTAAACGTAAGAACCGCTGTACGTACGACCCCTGAACGTAAGGAGACGTGAACGTAAGAACCCTTGATCGGAAGAACCTATGAGCGTAAAACTCCTAAACGTAAGAACCCATGAACGTAAGAACCAATGAACGTAAGAACCCCTAAACGTAAGAACCCATGAACGTAAGAAGACATGAACGTAAAAACCCATCAACGTAAGAACTCCTGAACGCAAGAACCCTTAAACGTACGAACCCCTGAACGTAAGAAGACAAGAAGGTAAGAACATATGAACGTAAAACCCCTGAACGTAAAAACCCATGAACGTGAAAACCCATGAACGAAAGAACCCATGAACATAAAAGCCCATGAACGTAAGAGTCCATGAACGTTAGAGTCCATGAACGTAAAAATCCATGAACGTAAGACTCCATGAACGTAAAAACCCATGAACGTAAGAGTCCATGAACGTAAAAATCCATGAACGTAAGAGTCCATGAACGTAAAAACCCATGAACGTAAGAGTCCATGAACGTGAAAACCCATGAACGTAAAAGCCCATGAACGAAAGACCCCATGAACGTAAAAGCCCATGAACGTAAGAGTCCATGAACGTAAAAACCCATGAACGTAAAAACCCATGAACGTAAAAACCCATGAACGTGAAAACCCATGAACGAAAGACCCCATGAACGTAAGAGTCCATGAACGTAAACGCCCATGAACCTAAGAGTCCATGAATGTAAAAGTCCATGAACGTAAGAGTCCATGAACGTAAAAACCTATGAACGTGAAAACCCATGAACGAAAGACCCCATGAACGTAAAAGCCCATGAATGTAAGATCCCATGAACGTAAAAACCCATGAACGAAAGCCATAAACGTAAGAACCTATGAAAGTGGAACCCCTGAACATAAGAAGACCTGAATGCAAGAACCCATGAACCTTTACAAATACTCATGTCCACCAACTACCCAGCTAATGAGTAATGTTAAAATGTCAAAATAAGCTGTGTAGGTGGCTTTCACGCGTTCCCTATGTATTCTTTCTCTGTCCCTGTGTGCACTAAGCCATGTGATTAGAGACTTTGAGACGGAAACGGGAACGTCGCTTAAAAATGAGTGAATTTGCGTTCTTTTGGTCTTTATCTCGATTACTCCTACCCACTTACTTTGTCTAATGTAGGCAAACCTTCCAGAAGTTGAATTCCATGGGACCATACCGAAGTTCAAAAAGAGAAACAAACTTTCGTCGTTGCTTGTTTACGTTCTCCATAAAATGCGACATTAGGCATTATCAGGTCGTACTCGTGCGAAAACGGCAAAGCAGTGCCCAAAAATGGAGCGATGCACGTGCAAAGTTGTTGTTTTGCTAATTAAACCTATTGTTTCTCGTTGTCGTCGTCTCGTTGGATCTATTCACGTGGTTGACGTTTACTGTCAGAATTGACCAATCATAGGTTATAGCAAGACCGCTTACCATCTGGATGGAAAACCCGGGAATTTCGGGGAGAATTCAAATGGACGGTTCATCCCGGAGGAAATTTTCCGGGAAAAAAGTAATACCTTTCGAGGTATTACCTTTTTCCGGTTTTTACCGAAACGACCGAAATTTTCTGTACCATTTGTTTGGATTACCAGTGCCAGGCTTCAAGTCGAGAGAAAGCGAAAAATTTACCGGGATTTTGTAAATGGTACAACTCAATCCCGTTCCTGTTTTCGGTGCCCAAACAAAAAAGCCAGTACCATTTGACGGAAATTTTTCTACGAAATTTCCGTACAAACGGTAAGGGCTCTTTCCCCAGCTCCCCTGCAGTTTTCGCGCAATTTTTCTCAATGCGCTTTCCCTTCTATTTTGGAGCCTGGAAGAGCCTAGGCTAAAGTGGGTGGAAAAAGTCGGACCTAGAGATTTAGTAATTCTGGGTGTTTTTGTCTGCGACATACTACCGTTCACTTAGACAACAAGGTATTATGATCTTCTGACAAGAATATCGTTCTGGTATACCTCAAGTTTTGGGGGAGAAGCTGAGGGTTTTTGTCGACAAACAAAGAACACAACAAATGATCTAAAAACCAAAGTAAAAACACGAAAGTGATGGTCGTAAGTGCGTTTATTTTAAGCCATGAACAGGAACTTAACAACTCTGCCAGGCCTGATAAATTAACCTCTCGCTTACAACGAGCGAATATCAATTAATGGCGGCGTCTCACAATAACTACTTCAGATCCTGACAAAAATCAGTTCTTGTACAATAAAAGGTTAAGAATTGTTTAAATTTTGCATTACAGCAAGCTTTGCTAGTGGCAGCCAGAATTGAAAGGCTTGCAAACGGTTAATACTTGGTACAGGTTTTTTGGATATAATTCCGCAACAGAATCGAACGAAGTAACTGCGCTAATAGTTTTATAGTTTTCGTAAAATCAAGCGTTTGCTCGAATAATGACTGGTAAACGTTTTGAACATTCAAACGTTATATTTTTCCGTATATATATTGAACAGTTTTTGAGTAACGCTGGAAAGTATGAAGTAAAATGCATGTTCTACAGCTCGGTTTATATCCATAAGAAGATAAGCAGTAACTACGAACCCTTAAAGCCCCAAAATTTAGATTGCACATCTCCTTCTGGTAAATATTTTGTTACAGTGTTTCTATAAAGAGAAAGGCAAATGATCGAAGTGCTAATTTCTTTCATTTTGATAACTGTGTGTTTGGGCCTTTAAGGGTTATTCTAAAGACGTACGAGGCGTAGCAGACCAATATTAAAGCATTCGTATAAATCATAAAATAAACAAAATCAAAATGTTGGCTTACAAACTCGGCGATTTCAGAACGAGGACCATGACGATCCTCACAGAGAAACTTACAAAAATATTCTAGAGCTTCTATGTCAAACCTTTACGAAATTTACATTTACTTAGAAAACTTGAGTCGATGTGGCCTGCAGCCTGCCTCGTTCTATATAAAATAATTCAACATTTTCATCTCGCCAGCTGACCATAAATGTGATCGTAGTGGTACAAGACTGAGAATCTAGAGTCTATTTTAAGTTATTTTTACAAAACTATTTGACTACAAAATGCATTTTTCAAAACTTAGTTTTAACTATTACTTAAAGTAAACTTGAACCAACATTAAACGTTGAAACGTAAAAGTTTTTTTTCTTAGTCACACGAGAATGTGTCGAGACTCACCTTTGTTCAAGTTGAACTACAGGGCCATTTAAATATTAAATTAAATAGTTTACTTACATATATACAGCTTTAAAAACCATTTAAATACCTTTGTGAAATTATTTACAACTTGGCCTATGAACAAAAACAGCACCACGGTATCTCGATGCTTTAAAACATTTTTCTCTCTCTATAAATAAATTATTTCAGCCGCCATATTCTAACTACTCGAGTAATAGAAAATTGCTTTAAAAAGCTACACTTTTGTGGTATTAATAAATTAACAATAGCGAATATTTCATTCATTTCTCTATGAATTACCAAAGGCTATAATAATTGATCACGGATAACTATTCTACACAATTATTTCTATCTGTGTACTGTTTCGTTGTACCCGAAATCTTCGCCATTCGTCCTTAGCACCCTCCTCCTTTGGGGAGAGGGGTGGGGAAAGAACTTGCGGCGTGGAACACACCGAAGGTGTTGAGTCGAGCAAACTTGCTCGGTTGTACTCAAAGTTTCTTAGCTCTGTTGAACGCGTTGACGCCGTTGTTGAAGACGACGCTGTCGAATCCGTTGAAGTCTGATTATAATAAGTTCTTGCAGTGGTCAGTGGCTTTTCTTGCGTTGTGTTCCTTTTCTTTTTCAAAGTTGTTCTTGTAGCTAGGCGAGTTTCTCGGTTTGCGCGTCTTCTTTCTCTCCATTTTCCTCTGATGCAAAGTATTAAAAGAAGAATGGCCGCCAACACAACAAGCGATGCAATTAATGGTATGAGATAGTCTGGAGCAGCTGTTGAAAGAACAAAAAACAATTTAAAATTCCTGTTGCGCGTAAAGTTAGCTCACTGTGTAATGTAACAGCCATGATATTGCCATAATAGAGCTTTCGATTCTGAGACGAAGACGACTACGAGTATTTAAGAGATTTTCTCAATACTTAGTATTACTCGCGCGTTAACCAGCGTCATTTTGGCGGGAAAACGTGATAGTCGTCGTCATTCTACTACGAGTTTTAGCGAGAATGTCGTAGTGGCGGGAACAAGTTATCAACTGCAAGAAGTTTTAACATTTTTCTATCAGGAGAGGGCTTAACCTCCTTCAGTATAAAAAAACCGTACTAACCTTTTTTGGTGAAAAAAAGTGAAATGAAGCTTTCCGGGGTTTCTTTTTAGGAGAACACGCGCAAAAAAAATTAAGTTACTCTCGTACTCGTACTCACTCTCGTCATCAAATCTAAAGCTCTCTATCTACACTCTACACTTTGATGTTCATTAAATTACTTAGGGAGCTTATAACTATGTCTCTGCGTTAGCTTTCCCAAAAGTAACACCAAACCTTACAACCAAAATTCATTTTCTGATCTTCCCAGTATCCTTCGCAGCCGCTCGAGCCGGAGTATCGTAACGCTCCCCGCCCTTACGCGGCATTGCGTGTGCCCCCCCTCACCCCACGCGTGTCCTGTTCTTTCTTGCACCCTATCTTTCTGCTAGGCTGGCTAAATAATTGGTTTATTGCCACACTACCTTACGTAACATCTAAACTGTCATGTGGACATGCTCAACACACCTTGTTCCTCATGAAAAGACAGAGTCACAGATCGCTCCACCGTCACCTCTTCCACGGCAATGAGCACATTGTAAAGAGTAATGTTGATTTCCTCTTGTTTGTTGGAAGGTACTGCTCGGATGAATCTTGCTATGTCCACTGCCGCTTTTTGGGCCACTTCTGTGCGTCGCGTGCTGGCCTAAAGAGGAAGAAAAGAGAGAAACAAATAGGTTAAAACTCGTGAGAGACGCTTCCAATGACTTGCACTTCGCGGAAGACCGTCGGGTCTCTTTTCACGGCTTTCAGGCCCCTCGACATTAAGGTGGATTTCCACTGTCGCGTAAATAAAATAGAGGCCATGTATGGGAGGTGACGAGTTAGCGTACAAGTTACACCCCGCTCAACTTCTACTTTCACGTGCTACGTTTCATACATCGCCTCTATTTTATTTACGCGCGTCAATTTTACGAACTGACGTACGTAGAGAGATTTAGAGTGACGTTTACGGCAACCGGCAAAAGTCAGATTGTAGTTGAGAATTTCTTAGAATAGAAAATAAGCAGATAAAAACTGTCCGGAACAATTCCTATGGATAAAACTAGCGCGAAACTACTTATTACTGTTCGGAAGTAATAAACAATAAGCGACAATTCAGGGGAAGACTTGGTCCCCTGGTGCAAATTCGCGTTTGCCGTTTGGCGTAAACGTGACGCTAAGTCTCTCTATTCTCTTTTTCAGGGCCCTTCGTTTGTTTTGGTCACGGTCGCAACTAGGCTCATTCTCCAGCCGTGGGTGTTTCGATGCGCTTGCGTACTCCCCACGCGGGGATAATACCGAGTGGCTCTGGGGACGAGAATGGGTCCGCACTCTCTTACGAAGAACTCTAAATTGAAGGATCCGCAGGCAGGCCGCCAACAGGACCAATCCAAACGAAAAACAGGATTAATGCCTAGGCAGACAGGTGAAAAGCTATTTACAAGAAAACCTACCACCGACA